AAATAAATAAATAAATAAATAAATAAATAAATAAATAAATAAATAAACCTGTCCTTCTCCAAGAGTGGGACATTCCCCGGAAGAAGAGAAAGGTTCCACTTGGTTCCTAAAATCACCAAAAGCTACGAATAGAAGTAGAAGTGCCTTTTCCATAAACATTAGTAAAAAGGGTTTAGTCATCTAGACAGGTGGCCTTGATTTGTCCCATCTGCCAGAAACCCAGTTTGAATCCAACCTCTTTTGTAACTGGTAGGTTTTACATTGTTGTACCTGATTCATGGCTGAAACTTTGGAATGGGAACTATGAGGTCCCTGTGCTTTTTTGTTTTTATTTGTTACTATACTTCTTATGGTTCATAACATATAAACAGACTAGTTCGTTGGCAAAAATAGATTAATAAAACTCTTTGCGTCAATGTATCATGCCTTGCATTTCCCTTGACATTCAATGTCAAATCATAAATGAACTTTTTAAAAAAACTTTGCCCCCTTATATAACAAAATAACTTTTAAAATGTTTATATCTATTATGAAAATAACAATATATAGATGGCAAACAATAAAATATAGAAAAATAACAGACATGAATATATATTTATACGATATAAAATATCTTCTATTTGGTATACAGTTAGTTGTGCTGTATTAAAAAATTGCTATTTATATCAGTCATATATCTCACTTTTTACAATTTGAACTTTTCTTGAACTCCAATTTTTTTTCCAGTAGAAATGGGGAAAATATTTTTCCTAACTAATGGACTATTCTTTAAAACATTGAAGTAATCTTTATATGTTCTTAATTACGAAAGCATATTTAGTATTTCCCCTTTGACCTCCTTCCCCAGCATATTAACTAAAGCATCATCAGAATAGTAGTTTCCTATGGTGCATTTTGTGCACTGATGTTCCCCCAAGAGATTGCATTTCTGACCTCCTCATTCTAAGTCTCTCTTCACATCTAGAGGATACATTTTCTCAATGCAAACATGTTTAAAAAGAAAATAGTCAACGTTAGCCCATTTTATGAAGTCCAGATCCATTTGCTTTCATATTCATACAGAAATATTATGAGAACTGTCCAATACACAACTAACAAAAAGGGTAATCATAATATCAATGATCCTAGAGCACTAACAGAGCAGAAAACCTGAATTTCAACGATCGTCCTTGTCTCCATTTTGTCATCTGTAAAATGAGAGGTTATAGATCTTTCTGTCTCTCTGCTTGTCTCTCTCCCTCTAATTCTTTCTCTCTCTCTGCAGCCAACATCTTTAGAGAAACCCTTCTCACATTAACAGGTGAGCATGCTCAAAGAGGATTCCATAAACTCACTCCAGACTCCTTTGCTGCTAGGAAAAGGCCTGTCTCATAGGCTCTGTTACATATGCATAAAAGAAAAATACAGGGAAGAACCTAATAAAATTTAGAAACTCATCTTGTAGCACAACACTTGTGGCAATCAACTCACGTTTATATATTTACTACTGGTCTTATCACATTTCCAAAATGCCCAAATTTTGGTACCTTCTTGGAGGCAACCTGAAGGGCTTGGAATAAATGATCTACATCAATAAAAAGTCTATAGTGACATTTTTTCAAGAGTTAAAATGTGTGCATTTGGAAAAGAAAGTGAAGAATTATAAATTATACCTCTATTACAACTTCTGATCCATTCATAGAATTTTTGTTCTTCATTGCAGCAGTCTGGGCTCTACTTTTTGTAGGATTTTTTTTTCTTCCCTTCTTTTTTTACCTTGGCAGTAATTGCTGTTATATATTTTTTTAAATTTTTATTTTATATTGGAGTATATTTGATTTACAATGTTGTGTTAGTTTCAGGTGTAAAGCAAAGTGATTCAGTTATACATATATCTATTTTTCAGATTCTTTTCCCATATAGGTTATTACAGAGTATTGCGTAGAACTCCCTGTGCTATATGGTAGATCCTTGTTGATTATGTATTTTATATATAGTAATGTGAATATGTTAATTCCAAATTCCTAATTTATCCTTCCCCCCACCTTTCCCCTTTAGTAACCAAAAGTTTGTATTCTAAGTCTGTGAGTCTGTTTCTGTCTTGTAAATAAGTTCATCTGTATCTTTTTTTAGATTCCACATATAAGTGATAATCATACAATATTTGTCTTTGTCTGACTTTCTTCACTTAGTGTGGTAATCTCGAGGTCCATCCATGTTGCTGCAAAGGGCACTATTTCATTCTTTTTTACGGCTGAGTAGTATTCCATTGTGTATATGTACCACATCTACTTTCTCCATTCCTCTGTCAATGGACATTTAGGTTGCTTCCATGTCTTGGCTATTGTAAACAGTGCTGCAATGAACATTGGGGTGCATGTATGTTTTCAAATTATGATTTTCTCTGAACATATGCCCAGGAGTGGGATTGCTAGATCATATGGTAGCTTATTTTTTAGTTTTTTAAGGAACCTTCATACTATTCTCCATTGTGGCTCTATCAATTTACATTCCCACATATATACATTCCCACATATATTGAGGGGCTATCAATAAAGGATGTGTCAGAGTGTTCCCTTTTCTCCACACCCTCTCCAGCATTTGTTATTTGTAGACTTTTTAATGATGGCCATTCTGACCAGTGTGAGGTGTTACCTCATCCTAGTTTTTTTTTTTTTTTAATATTTATTTAATTTATTTATTTGGCTGCACTGGGTCTCAGTTGTGGCACATGGGATCTTTTAGTTGTGGCATGTGGGATCTAGCTCCCTGACCAGGGATCAAACCCAGGCCCCCTGCATTGGGAGTGCAGAGTCTTAGCCACTAGACCACCAGGGAAGTCCCCTTCATTGTAGTTTTGATTTGCATTTCTTTAATAATTAGTTGGGCATCTTTTCATGTGCCTATTGGCCATCTGTATGTCTTCTTTGGAGAAATGTCTATTTAAGTCTTCTGCCCATTTTTTTTATTGGATTATTTGGTTTTTTGTTGTTGAGTTGTATGAGATGTTTGTATATTTTAGAAATTAAGCCCTGGTCTGTTGCATCATTTACAAATATTTTTCCCATTCTGTAGGTCTTTTCAGTTTTATAAATGGTTTCCTTTGCTGTGCAAAAGCTTGTAAGTTTGATTAGGCCTCATTTGCTTACTTTTGCTTTTATTTCTATTGCCTTGGGAGACTGACCTAAGAAACAATTAGTACGACTTATGTCAGAGAATGTTTTCCTTATGATCTCTTCTAGCTTTATGGTGTCTTGTCTTATATTTAAGTCTTTTAGCCATTTTGAGTTTATTTTTGTGCATGGTGTGAAGGCATGTTCTTCACTGATTTACATGCAGCTGTCCAACTTCCCCAGCACCACTTGCAAAACAGACTGTCTTTTCCCATTTTATATTCTTGAGTCCTTTGTCTAATATTAATTGACCATAGTTGTGTGGGTTTATTTCTGGGCTCTCTGTTCTGTTGCATTGATCCATATGTCTTTTTTTGTGTGCCAATACCACACTGCTTTGATTACTGTAGCTTTGTAGTATTGTCTGAAGTCTGGGAGCGCTATGCCTCCTGCTTTGTTCTTTTTCCTCAGGATTGCTTTGGCAATTCTGGGTCTTTTATGATTCCATATAAATTTTAGGATTATTTGTTTTAGTTCTGTGAAAAATGTCATGGGTATTTTGATAGGGATTGCATTAAATCTGTGTATTGCTTTGGGTAGTATGGTCATTTTAACAATTTTATTTCTTCTAATCCAAGAGCATGGGATATCTTTCCATTTGTTTAAATCATCTTTAGTTTCTT